CCCGTGGTGTTGTACCGTAATTTGTTGTAGCTCAAGAAAGCGAGAACACACATTCCTAGAAAACTGGTGAAAAGAGAACGACGCGGGGCGGTTCATGGGTCCGGTGAAGGTGCGCGCGGGATCCCGCGCTCAATCCGCGCCGCGGCTGCGAGCACCGACCGCGCGGGCAGCAGCACGGGCGACGCACACCTCGATGAGAGCTCATCGTCGATATCCCCGCCCTCGCTGCCACCGTCTCCCCGCTGCCGGCGCTTCGCCCCAAAGTCCAGCGCGCCCCCGCTCGCACGTCCATGCAGAAGGAGACTTCCCAGCTCATGCCCGTACGTATGCCCGCCCCCGAGCCCGCTCTCACCGCCTGCCGCGGCGCGCACCATCGACGGGGTAACGATACTCCCCGAACGCTTGCGCAGCTCCGTCTGCGGGAGCTGCAGCTGCGCGTGCGACGCGCGGCGCGTCAGCGCGGGGATGCGCGACGGCACGGGCGACGACGGGCTCGGCTGCGGGTGCTGGCGGTAGCTCTGTTTCAGGACGGGCGACGAGGGTACGTGGCGCAGCGTGTTGCCCTGCGACGTCGGCGTCGGGGCTTGGCTTTGAGTTTGGTTTTGACTTTGTAATTGCACGGTCTGGGAAAGGTGTGCGTACGACGAACGGCGGCTGAGCGAGAGGCGGGGAGACATGGGGGAAGGCGGGGGCGGCTGTCGCGGGACAGGCGAGGGCGCAGGAGGTTGCAGCTGCTGGGACTGCGTCCGAAGGGGTGCCGGCGGGATACGGCGCGTTATGGGCGATGCATATTGCTGTTGGTGCTGTTGCACAGGCGGCGGGCGCGGGGACGTAGCCGGGCGATATGAAGGCAGGTTGGGTGAAGGGGACGAGGGCGGAGGAGCAACGGACAGCAGCGAAGGCTTCTTCTTCCTACCGGGCGGGCCTGTCAGCACCACAGGCTGTTTCAAAGGCGGAGGGGGCGGGGGAGCGCGCGAACCGCCAAACGACCGTCGCGTGCCGACCACACCCCCGCCGAACCGCGCGCGCGCCTCGGCAACGGACGGCAGGTCGACGCGCGAGCCAAAGGTCGGCGTCCCGCAGCGGCTGCTCGCGCGCTCGACCATCTCCATCTCGCCCACCTCTGCGTTCCCGGCCCCGGCCGTCCCGCCCGCGCGTGGCACATCGAAGAACGCGGAGCCGCTCCCGGCGCGCGCGCGGCGCTGCGGAGAGACGGGCACGGCGACAGGCACCGCTACGATGTGTCCGAAGAGCGACCCGGGCGCTTTAGTGACGCGCACGACCTTCCATCCCGCCGTGAGCGCGAGCGCGACGATTTCGCGCAGCGTGCGCTCTTGCCCGTTGAACGTCACTTGCATCTGGCAATGAACACATCGGTCAGCGTCCGCCAACTTATTTACAGGACGGAGAGAAAGCACCGTAAGGTCCATCCAATAGGCGTTCGCGCTTGCCTTGCCGAGATTCGCGAGTAGCGGCGCGGGCGCGAGCATCTTCTCCGCGCCCTCGACCTGCACGTCTATCCCACCCTCCCCAACGCCGAAATCGTCCACGCACGCAAGCGGGAGCACAAAGTCCGCGAGGACAAGCTTCGTGTGCGGTGCGGCGGCTTCGCGCAGGCGGAGGAGGATGCGGTGCGCAAAGGCGTCGGGCCAGTCGTGGAGGACGACGCGAAGAAGAAAGACCGCGGCGTCGGTGACCGGTTGCGGGGTAAAGAAGTCGTGGACTAGACCAATTTTGGGATTAGCATGCGTCGATGCAAAGCGTATAGAAAAAGACCCACCCTGAAATCGGACCGCGCCCGAGTCCAAGAGCTCTGGGCACTTTGCACGCCAGGCCTTCTCTCCCATCTCGACAACCACCGGCCGGTCCTGGATCACAAATCGCAGACCGCCGCTCCCTGTTTATTAGCGTTAGTGTATTTCTCAAAAGAAAAGTAGGAAAGAGAAAGCTTGAAAGAATCACCATCCGCATCCACCTCCGCATACGCGCTCGCAAGCAACATACTTGTAGACCCAATCCCACCGCCGACATCCACTACCACACTGCCGCGCGGAAGGGACGCCCAGTCGAAGCCTGTTGTGTGTAGATCAGTATCGCGAAGCGTTGAACAGAGAAGCAGCGGAGGAAGGAAAGAATCTCGCCAAGGCCAAGATCTCGAGAGCGGGTCGACGAAACAGCAAACACCCACCATGCAACACCGCCCCCGGCGCCTCCCAGCTCCCCGTCCCCGCCATCGCCTTCCCAAAGCGCTCCAGCCGGAACCGATTCGGGTTCCCGCCTCCTTCCCTGTCCTCTTCCCCACCCTTTCCGGTCCTGCCCTTCCCACCATTCCTCCCCATGCCCTCCCCCACCACCCCCGCACGCACCTCCCCCGGCGCTGCGCCCCACCCTTCCCCCTCCAACCACGCAAAGTACCCGACGCCCCCGCACCCGAACGCGTAGTTGAACGGCGCGCGCGTGGGGTCGCTTCCCGTCGCCGTTGCCGGTGTGCTCGCGGCGGTGCTGGCGCTGCTGCTGGCCGTGGCGGCACTTGTGCTCTTATTGACGCTACTGCTTACACCGAGCGCCATCGCCGATGACGAGGACGAGAACGGGGGCGACATGGATGGGGATGGCAATAAAGACGAGGAGGCAGCGGAAGAGGCGGGATAAAGCCGCGCGTTGCCGGGGAAGACCGCCTCGGTGAGGTACGCGCTCGACTTGAAGAGTTCGTCGGTGCTGGGGGAGGGTTTCAATGAGCGAAAGAAAAGGAATAGAGGGGATGTGAAAAAGGGGAAAGCAAAGCAGAACGCGAATCCAATTAAATGATGTTCGCAAACAAAGCCTCAGAGGCTGGCTATATGCGCAGTGAACGGGAAGAGGTCTTTGATCGGGTAACGACGAGGCTGGGACGATATATGCGTGATTTTCGCGTCTCGAGCTCCCAGCAACGAACATAAGAGGCAAAAAAAAAAAACGAAAAGAAAAACCTAAAGATATACGCACCACAACCCCACGAACGCTGCGACCGCACTCGCGTCCGCGTCGCCGACGGACGCGTATTTGGTTTCTGGGCTGCAAAACAAAACCAATGAAGATCAGTACGGGATGGGGTTCGAGAAAGGAAGAGGAAAGAAAAAAAAACGAAAGGGAGGGACACTGGGAGTGCAAACAAAGACGAATACTTAGTGTGCGGCCCGGAAGCCAAGCCAAAATAAAATGAAACGAAAACCAAGAACGAAAAAAAGGTGGAAGAGAAATTGCGAGCACGAAGAACAAACGAGGAAGAGCGTGCTCCGTGAGGATGGGATTTTCCAGAAGCCTCAGCGCCTACAGAAATCGAAAGAGGTGCATAATGCATCCCTTTCGCCCAAGTCGGGAAATCGAATGAGACCTTCCGCTTTGGGTACACGACACGACCCGCGCGATGCGTGCGGAGCCGAGCAAACGCCGAAAAGCCCGAATGCACGAATGCGAAATGAAGCAATGAAGGGTCCCGACAGGGGAAGAGAGGGTGCGCGTAATAGAAGGGTGTCAATGAGAGCGACGCGTGCCACATGAAAAATGACGCGTGACGGATGCGGACATGGACGAGGGCCGCGGGGGCGAAGGAGGCGGGGAGACGGGGAGAGGGGCAGGGAGGCAAAGACAGTAGAATATGGTACGAGAAAGAAAGAAAATAACCGAAAAAGGGGAGAACGAAAGAAAGAGAGGGCGAGGGAAACGAGAGAGCAGAGACGCGGTTCGCGAACGTACTTTGCGACGAGCTCGCACAGGGGCTTGCCTGAGTCGATGAGCGAGCTGATGCGGTTGGCGGCAAAGACGTCCGGCGCGGCCTCGCGCAGGATATGGTGCGTCGCTAGCAGACGGAGGATGTGCGCTGCACCCAACAGTGTATCAACAAAAGAGAAAGCCGTGAGCAGGAAGAGCGCCCCACCAAGCTTCGCCTGCTCGACGCCCGTCCGCGCCGCAATCTCACGGACATGGACAGGTCTGTCGCGCAGGACCTCGACGACGTGCGCGGCCTCGAGGACGCGCAGACAGCTGGGGAGGTGGTACCCCATGCCCGCGTCGCAAAGCGTCAGAAACGGCACCTGCACCGTCGCGGCCATCTGGCCCGCCGCGGCGACGATGCGGTTGATCGCTGCCACCACGGTCGGGTGCGCCGTGAGCTGCTCTGCCGCCGAGGCGGGGTCGTACGGCGCGTCTAGAGAGGGAAAGTCGAGGGTCGAGTTGGAGTTGGGAGGAGCAGAGGTAGAGTACGACGAGGGCGACGGAGGCGGGCTTGCGTAGACGCGCGAAAAAGAATTGGCCTTCTTGTGGGTCGGGGGCGGGTCAGCGGCAGCGTAGACGGCCTCGATGTCGGTGAGGGCGTCGCCGAGGATGGCGTGGAGGGCGCGGAGGACGGCAAAGGTCATGGCAGCGCGCAAGACACCCAACAGAGCCAGCAATAAATTAGTAAATATATTTGGCTGTCAAAAGATTCGATCGACACGACGCGTCTTCTTATCGCATTTTCGTGTTCTTCCAGCTCCAATTGCGCGATACGCCCCGCGGCAGCGAATAACGCAGAATGAGACATTTTCTGAGGAGAAGACGAGGAACATATTTGCGTATGTTGAACACATCCTTTACTGACACCGCTCTCAGGCTTTCACTTCAATTTCACTTTGCCTCTCGGTGCCGTCCTCGACGCCCGATTCCGACGCTGTCGGCGTCCTTGAATGATCCATGACAGTGGTCGATACTCGCTTCAAGCTCAAATACATGTTCCCCTGCAACCTCTGTCGTGCTATCCGGGACCCGGCGGCCTGTTCGCGGGTTGACCGCGCTGGTCCTGTGTCAAGGCCTATAGGACCGTCCATCCGCAAGCAATTGCTATCCGGAACCTGAATGTGCTCTAGTACTTCGTTCGATTTGAACGTAGATTCCTTTTTATGCGCTGAACGGCTCTGCAACAACAATGCGCACCGCTAAACCTTCTTCCGCAGGCGAAAAAAAGCCACAGCAGCACACTTTTATGGCTCGGACCTGATTCGAACAGGCGTCTTCTGCTTGAACTCAGTGTCATAACAGTACATGAGAGACAGACGTGGACCATCCACCACCGAACCTTTCCTGTCCCAATTTCAACCTGGATATGTCTTGCAATTTGAGCAGTTCAATGAAACAAAAAAGCATAACGCACCTGTAACGGCTCGGGCCTGAATCGAACAGGCTTCTTCTGCTTGAAGCTCGAAGGCGAAGCAAACAGAGACAGTTGTGGACCATCCACCACCGAGCCTTTCCTATCCGATTTCAACCTCGATATACCCTGCAGTTTGAGCAGTCAGATTGTCTAAAAGATTCACAATTATTGCCCAGTGACTCGAGGCTTCCTCTGTCTGAACGGAATGCAGCAAAATAGGCGAAGCACATGTGGACAATCCAGTACCCGGTCGTCTCAACTTCAGCATCAGGATACATCCCGGTTTGTGTTCAATATATATATATATATATTTTTTAAATCGTCACAGTTTGCAGCAATGCCTCAGACCTGATTCGAACACGCTCTTTTCGTGCAGAGGAGAATATTCTGAACCAGAAACGGATGTGAACCATCGTCGGCTGCCGAGCCTTTCCGGATTTGAGAATATACTTCCCACTTTGAGCAGTTTAGCCGCCAAAATATCCCGAATTCTGGACGGTACGTGGCTCCGGCTTGATATCAAGCAAGCGCCTTCTGTTTAATCGCAATGGTCAGGCTAGCAGCAGCAACTTGGAATGTGAATCATCCACCACCAACCCACTCTGCGCTTCATTTCAGGCTTACACACCGTGTCAAAACAAAGTATGTTAGAATCCGCCCAAAAAACTCTCTCTCGACGTTATTGGACACGGCTCAGGCCTGACTTGAACACCACCACTGAACCTTCCATAGCTGAATTTCAACCTGAATATCCTTTGCAGTTTTGATTCTGTTCAACGACCAAAAGAGCTGGATACCCCTACTGCATGGCTCAGGCCTGATTCGAACAGGCTTCTTCTGCTTAATGGAGCAAACACATACGCCGTGTAACCAAAGACAGACGTGGATCATCCACCACTGAGCCTTTCCTTTCCCAATTTCAAGCTCGATATAAGTATACTGCAGTTCCAAGCAGTCCGATTATCCAAAAAATTCAGCCATTGGTAACCGAGTCGGATTTGAAAATTTATTCGAATAGACTTCTTTTGCTTCAACGGAAGGGTTGCAGCAAAATAGGCGAAGCAGATGTGGACAATGCAGTACCCAGTACCATCTCAATTTCAACACGAATAAGTACACCCCGGTTTGTGTCCAAAAAAAATCCTAACAACATTCAGTAATGGCTCAGACCTGATTCAAACAGACTCTTTCCGTGCAGAGGAGAATATAAACCAACCAGAAACGGATGTGGGCCACCATCGCACCTCTTCTTCCTGGATATACCTCACAATTTGTGCAGCGCAGCGGCCAAAATATTCCGAATTCCAGACCCTTCGTGGCTCCGGCCGTGGCTACACTCAAGCGGGCTCGTGCTGTGTAAGCCCAACTGGACGGCTGGCAGGAACAAATGTGAACCACCCACCATCAAGCCGTTCCGCTCTTCAGGATAAATATAGGCTCGCAAGTCGCACACCGTGATCAAGTACGTCCGAATTGCGCCCACAAAAAAATTCCTCTCTGCGATCTGCATGGCTCAGGCCTGATTCGAACGAGCTTCCCCTGCTTAATGGAACCACTGCTACGCCATACCGAAGACAGACGTGGACAATCCACCACTGAGCCTTTCCTCCGTCGGCCTCAGCTGGAATACCCCCCCAGTCAGTTCAATAGCTCAATTTTTTTTTTTCGAGGAATCTATCAATAGGCTCGGGTCTGACAGGTTTTCTTTCCGTTGAATAAGTACTGTAGCGGAATATCGCAGCAGATGTTGAACTATCCACCAAGCCTTTTCTGTCGCAATTTCAATCTGGACGTATGCTGCAGTTCTGAGCAGCTCGGTGGCCCAAGAAATATGTTCCGTGGTTATAGCTCAGGCCAGATTCGAACAGGCTTCTTCCGCCGAATACCAAACGCGTGAGCTGATACTAAGCTTTTCCCGTCCCAATTTCAACCTCGATGTATGTTGCAGTTTTCAATGGCCTAAAAAGAAAAAAAGAAGTTTTCGGCTAACTTGAGTCAGGAATGGTTTAGGCCTGATTCCACCAGGCTTCTTCCGCTGAATACCAAATGCGTGAGCTGTTATTAGAAACAGACCCGGACCACCCGCCACTGGGCCTTTCTTCCCCGGATTTCAGCTTGAATACTCCCACCATCTTGTCGTCATCCGTGAGATTCAATTCACTGACAACTTCAATCAAATGCAAATTAAAGGAACATAGGGGATAATTCTAATGAGAAACCCGGTTTCTGCAGAGTTGGTTACAAACTGCCTCTGTCGGTTTTCCAAATTGGGAAAGCGGTGCTCGGCGAGGTTTTGGCCAAGCCAAACCTGACATGCCGAAGCATTGTGAAATCGAGAAGTCCACAGAAACATATGAATATATGAATACACACCTAGGAATACAAAGCTACAGAAGTTATACAAATAATAAGAATACAAAGCTACAAGATGTATATGAAGGTACTGGTTGTATTGGGGAGGGACATAAAATAGGAATTGTGCACTGCCCCATTTGCAGAAGCACGATGAGTAGCCTGTACCTCAGCGCTAGAGGACAGTGCTGAGGTATAGTTGAGACTCCTCGGCTGTCGTGCATGGGGGCGGGGGGTTGGAAGCGCTGTTGCAGGCAGCATTGTGGGTGTCATCTGCACTGTGGCTGCCATTGTGGTAACAGGTGGTGTGGTCGCACAAAGCAGCAGGGAATCAGCAGCAGTATGGGTATATGTGGTGGGAGGTGCGTTAGCAGGTGGGGGCTGCATGCAGGGTGGAGAATCAGTGGTGAAGGAGGAGAGGGTGGGTGCTTGTTTGGTGTGCACCTCAGCTCTGCTTCAGGTTTCAAGCTCCACTGAGAAGCCGTCGGCAGGTGACAGTGCCCTTCCCAAAAAGGTTCAGGGGCAGAGGTGGTTTGTATCTAGTCTCAGTGCACAGCCTCTCCCAACATCCCAATCTGGGAACCTTGTTATGAGAGTCTGGGCTACAACCGAACAATTATCCGGACCATTGCTCTATCTCCCTCTCGCATCAATTCTACCCGACATTCTATGCAGACTCTATGGTGGAATTTTTCCCAACAGATCCAATGCTCTCGCTCTATCAAACCATTCCCACAATATGTAGCACTTGCATTTTGTATTCCACAGTAACTACTGGCTCTAAATACCACCTGTAGACACCACCCACCGCCTGATATACCAGGCAAGACTATACACGAACGTTGCCTGGTATTTCAGGGAAAATTGAGTTCCATGGAAACACCTCCACAACATCCATCCACGCCAAATTTTGGCAGAAACACCACTTTCCACTGTTTCCACCACCCTTATCGACCCTTCATTAGCAGGTCAGTAAATTTGTTACCCTTATAAAAACTTCCACCACATCCACCAAACAGATTTTTTGACTGGGAACGCCTCCACCACATCCACCAAAATGGGGTCAGTGCAATTTTGTGACCCGGAATGCTTCCACCATATCCACCAAAACGGGTCAGTAAATTTTGTGACCCCTGTAAATTCCACCACATCCACCAAAACGGGTCAGTAAATTTTGTGACCCCTGTAAATTCCACCACATCCACCAAAACGGGTCAGTAAATTTTGTGACCCCTGTAAATTCCATCGCATCCACTAACGAAGGGTCAGTAAATTTTGTGGCCCATACAAATTCCACCACATCCATCAAGCAGGGAGTCACTATATCCGAGTCACACATCCACATGGTATCTCCACCACGTGATACTTCCACCCCATCCACCACCTGGGCAGTCCTGGGGGTATTTCAGCATACCAATGCACGTGACTTCTGGTGATCCTTCCACCACATCCATCTCCTCGCCGAGGACCTATTCTGGTATATCTGTGCACGTGACACTTCCACTGTATCCACCACCAGCTGGGTAGCGCATTCCAGCCTGGTACACATGACACTTCCACCGCAGCCATCACGCGGTTTTAGAGACTCTCTGCCCCCATTTCCACCATCTCCATCAATTATCATTGTGAAAGGACACTAGTCTGTTTCGTCCTTGTCGGTGGCCAATACAACCACTGTCTCAATTGCCCTGGCAAGCTCCTCCTCCTCCTCCTCGTCCCCATCGTCTGTCTCCCACCCATCGTCTTCCCCGCCTCCACCAGCCAGAACCCTGTGCATTTCTGCCTCCAACGCCTCCCTCTGGGCCTGCTGATCATCAACCACCATTGGTGTTGGAATTTCAGGCTCCTTGCGACGAACCCCTGGTTCGAGTGTGCCTGTGAACTGCTCCTTGTAAGTGGCTTGTAGCTTCCTGAGCCTCTTCATGTGGGTATGGTCAAAGCGCCCTCGCTCCATACGATACCTGTGGACAAAAAAGGCAAGATCTGGGTCTGTCTCCCTAATCTCCTCCTCTTTTGCCACCAAAAAGTCCCGTTCGTCTCTGATATAGGTTACCAGCCTCCTGATCTCAATATTCAGGCGTTGGATCTCCTCCTTGGCTCTGAGGATTTTGAAGTGGGTGTCCATGAGAGCTCTGGCGGCAGGGGTGGCCCAGGGACGGATGGCAGCATTCCCCTCCGGATCTCGAAGGAGGTCAAAATCAGAGAGAAAAGTGAACTCCACCACCTCTTCCCACTTCAAGGTGCGGCGAGGAGGATCCAGTGAGGTAGCAGCGGCATTGTATCGACCCAGGGCAGTCCTGATGGTCTTGGACCGGGTCTGCAGAGCTTTTGCAATGTGCTTCCGAAGTTTATACCCTTGGAGACGTATTAGTGTGAAGTAAAAATCATCGACCACCACATACCTGTTCCAGACATATTCATCTTGGTGAGCTCGAACAGTCTCTTTATCACCAGCTCCTCTAGCTTGTTGAGGGCCAGACGGTAGTGTCTAGAGGCCACCAGCGCTTCTGCATTCTCGTATTCCTCGTCGTCCACTGTCCACCGGACTAAGATATCCATCTTCTTCTCCATCTC